CCCCCCCCCCCCCCCCCCCCACTGGTAACAATCGCATTGCAGATAACGACTTAATGAGCATTCAGCAAAGTAAATGAAGGCACAAGTTGAGATAAATTCACGATTGTGGATTACGTCCTCGACCAGTTCCTTACCCTAGATCTGTGACTGTCGGAAGAACTTGTCGTTTAGAGGATTTTCTGATAAGTGTGTGCTCAAGATTTGCCGCTACCTGGTGTCGTGGTGAAGAACCGCTTATAACGACCGACATTCCGGACTTCCCTGGAACTGGTTTGCAATTGCCTGGGCTCAACGAACTGTTCGAATATGGCATCATCACCATTGTCTGTCGTGCCATCTCATCGATTCGTTGTGCGCCTTCAAAATATTTCTAGCTGGCTCTAACCTTGACCGTTGGCTTGCATCTCTTCAGTTTCGAGCATTTTGGTCGTATACTACTGAGTATTCGGAAGGATACCCTTTGTCTGAGCTTACAATTAGGATTATCGACGAAGACGTAATTACTAGACTCAAATGAGTATTTAGTCGTTAAATTGAACTATTCATGGGTGGTGTACCGTCTGCGATTTTGGAGAGGAGGCCTAATGAGTTACCCCAGTCCTACTACCGTATCATACTTAAAGGCACAGTTCACGATAAAAATGGTTTCCGAGAACTCGCTATAGTATGAATTCGAGGCTCCGCCTTATACCATAGCTTTCCTTATAAGGGAGAAAAACGTCCTGGATAAGGCACAATAAGGAACCAGAGATTGTATCGTGTGAATGCCACACCCCTAGTGGACGAGTTTCAACGACTTAGTAGAGGCTTCACCATTCATAAGGGAACCAATGTAGGAAGTTCAAACAACTCATGACCAACAGCGACAGTGCAATGCAATTGTGGACAGTTATGGTATGATGTAGTCAGCTCTTTGCATGATGGGGCAGGTTAGATCTTTCCCGAAAAGGCATCTTTCATAGTCCACGATTTTGCGAGCGACCAGTCGCGCGACTGGTCGCCGGTCGCTAGCGACTGGTCGCTCGACTGTTCGCGCCACCGCTCGACCGATCGAGGAGGCTGCGCTAGTTATGGGTGCCGCTGAGGACGGTCCCGAGCAGATCGAGCGACCGGTCGCCAGTCGCTAGCGACGCGCGACTGGTCGTGGACTATGAAAGCAGCCAAACCCCTTACATGTCATTACTATCGCGGCGATCTCGTACAACCTCCACTTCCACTACTTTCGAAAAGCTTGGAATAGGCGAATTTTCGAAGTGGGTAGGCCATTGCCCTTATCCAGCATCCCAACGTTGATAGCCAAAGTGCAGATAGAGCGGGGTAGCCGAATTCTTGAGCCTATAGTGCTGCTTAGAAACGTTTCTTAGCTGAGCAAACTTAGCTTTTAGCTTTCTCAAAGGAGGGATGCAACAGCGAGGTGAGTGAATCGATTTATTGTTCAGTTTTATCCCATCCCAGCTTTCTGCATGAAGTAACCATCTCACTCATCCTGATCTCCTCCTCTTTTTTTGTCTTAGGTTAAAATTAATTTCCTTTGCCAACGTTTTTAGGTATAAGTGGAGTCGGTCTCCCCTCCTTGCCTTCCCCTCGCCCCACTGCATTTTCACAGGATTCCCTATACAATAGTTGTTTTTTATTATTTACCTTACACACAAGCGAATCCCACAAAACCCAGAGGCTCTACATATTCCGTCTCCCACTGCAGTTCTTTCAAACAATCTAGCTCTTTAGTGGTATGATTTGGGTGCGGAGTGCAGTGAGACACAGAAATCTATGACTCCGTTTCTTATGTTGGTTCATTCTCGGAATTACTTTGAAATTAGCTAAACTTAGCAGTGAGTACGTTTTGCTAGCACGTGAATGTGAATTTTCTTGTCGAAACATACAGATGGCTAAATGGTATTCATAAGGTTTTTACATTTTTGTCGCCTAAAATGTTGGAAAGGAAAACATAAGGGGCGGTGCCGGTCGGCAATCTTTCCCCAGGACACGCTCCATTCTATGCTCGTGCGCTTGACACCTTTCTGTTCGTTACTTAGAGTTTATATCGATCATCCCATCAATCACCCGAAGAATTGTTCACTCAATGGGTCATTTGTGATTTTCCATATTTTATGTTGAATATTCGTGAATCCAGTGTTCCTTTCTTCCAATCCTAGCTACATTTTGAAAGCGTATTAGCTCCGAAATTTTGTTTGCAGAGAATTCCTTGCTGATGTCCGATCTCCCAGAACAGGTCCTGCTCGGTTGTGGTAACCCCCTGCTTGATATTCAAGCCGTCGTTGGCAAGGTATATTGACAGGTTTTCTTTTTGCCATCTTAACAGTGTTTGGGTTGAAAGTGAGAATTTAGTTGGGAGTTTAGGCACCCCTCTTTTCTAACATTGAGGAATACAGCGCAGAGGAAGAGTAGTTGACCATACTTGTGCTCAGAGGATGTCCCTAACTAAAAGAATATATCTTTTAATAACTTTTTATCTGAGCATCAGGAGGCGAGTGCACCGGTGTGGCAGAAATGATTATGTCGTCCAAAAAGCTGGAATGGGATTAGAATTAAACAATCAATTGACTCACAGCCCGATCTCCCTTCCCTCCGAAGGCTTAGGGTAAAAGAACTACTTATTGTCAGGTAAGAAACGTTCCTATCACCATTCTGGGCTCGCGAAGTCGAAAACCCCTCCTTTTCTGCGCTCTAGCGCTCAATTTTGAAGGAGAGTGGTGCTCCCCCTCACCCTTTACATTTCATCGAGTTGACGTCATGTCATAAACGTCTGAAGAGATGGTTCCGCAATAACAAACGGTGTATCATACTTCCCGACTAATCGTCATATTTTTTAAGGATTTTCTCGATAAATGGGGCCTTAAAGAGAATGATGCCATTCTCTGTGACGACAAACACAATGCAATGTAAGGCTAATTTACCATCACGTTTTCATGTTCGTTTACGCTTTTTGTTTCTTTTTGGACTTTCGGACAAAAATGTCATGCTTTCTTCCGAGAAAGTTTGATTGAAGCTTGTTTTTTTTTAGGTTTGATGAGCTTATTGAGAAGTTCGACGTGGAGTATGTTCCTGGAGGTGCAACCCAAAATGCCGTGCGCGTTTGCCAGGTCTGGTTGGTTTTTCCAGTTTGTTAAGTAAAATCGTTTCTCCACAAAACTGGTGCTTAGGAGCGCATCTTGTAGGGTTTTTTGTTGTGCTGGGTCTTCTGTTGTGCTTATAGTGAGGACGTGGTCATGTCGTGCAAAACAGTTTACTCCTTCGAAATCTTGTAGTAGAAGTTCAGCGCCGATGCTTACATGCTGAAATTGAAGTTCATTCAGTAATCAAACTGTTCGTTGCGTTCATGTCGCTTCTGGACACGTTTCATAGTGAAACGGTTCAGGTGATCTTAATCGAACTATTCACGGAGTAGGACCTTAACGGCAGAACTACTAACTCTGTCAACATCCCCTTCCCTTTTACTGAAGATTTCTTCTCACGTTGCGAAGAAAAACCTTGTTCGTAAACACCTGGCTGTGAGTGTACGAGAGAATTATCTAAGAATGCAGAACTTCTCGTTGCCCTCGGTCGTTGGCAAATTTTGCTACCGGGTTTGTAATGGAGGTTTTTATAACAATCTTGGCGACGTCTTCCAAGTCTTTTCAAATACCTCAAAACGAGAGGTTTTCTAGAAATGAATGCTCGGTTCTGAGATGGTATTCAACTCAATCCATACTCCTCACTTTTTTAACTCTCAGTTTTTTTTCAGTGGATTCTCAACGTGCCGAACCGAGTGGCATTCTTTGGAGCCATCGGTAATGATAAATATGGTGATATGTTGAAGTCCAAAGCTAGAGAAGCTGGCGTCGATGCTCAATATCAGGTTGGTGTTAGATGCATTCAGTACAATTGAAATGATTTCCTGCTGTTACATCGTTGTCAAGCTAATGTTGATCCTTTTCAACTTTTTTCGGATTACATTGGAATGAAGCTCTTTCGAATCTTATTTGGCAACGTCTCGGTCCCCAAGTTGATTAGTAGAAACTACAGAGAGTCAGCTTCTTTATTACCCGAGCTGAAATATGACTCGTAGAAAATCAAAAATGCTCTACGTCGGGCCTGCAATGAGAAGATGTGGGAACAGCGAGGAAGGGGCGGATTCAAAAGTAACAGTTATTGCTAGAAATCGACTGTGCTTCCCGATAGGAAAACTTTGCAGTTACAGGAACTTATCAGTAAAGTTAATTGAAATTAGTGATAGATACAGAAGCAATACGGCCTAATTGATGCATGGTCTTTCGAAGCTAAGGAAATGCTTAAAGCCCGAGACGTCGTCGAATCAATGTGAAAACTTTGAGTTCCGTTCTAATGTAACTCGAAAAATGCTCCTCACTCAATGAAACCATAGGAAACATTATTTGTTCGTTTCTTATCTATCATGCCAGTCTAGATCAATGAAAGTGTAAAGACCGGTACATGCGCGGCACTCATCCACAATCAGCATAGGTGAAATACTTTCTTATACATTCTCGCGAATTCGAAATAGTACATGGATCCAAACGAACAATTCAAGATCACTGTGTGCTCACCTGGCTGCTGCTAATACCTTCACGATTGACCACCTGTTGAAGCCTGAAAACGCCGGAATCATCGAAAAGGCACAATATTACTACATCGCTGTAGGTTTTACTTGCGTGTTGTGCCACTTTCTGTTTCGAATTAGTCATGTTGAGCTCGTTATCAGGGTTTCTTCCTCACCGTCTCTCCTCCATCAATCATGCACGTGGCGGAGCACTCTTATAAGCATGGCAAGGTATGAAATACGACTTTCTCTCTGGCGTTATTCTTGAACTCAGTCAGCATACATAGAGAGCCTCAATTTGTCCAACTGGTAGTATTTTTGGGTAGAGTGCGCATTGAAAATAGCTTTTTTCTACATTGCGATCTGTCACTTTATTTATTGTTGTCAACAGTAAGTAGTGGCTTTTATTTATTTGTTTACACCAGTAATCCACAAAAATGACAATTCGCTTGAGCCTAACCGTCAAAAATGCTCCCTTACGAGAGGATGATCGGAGTTTAAATGCAATTGAGCAAAAGTACTTCTTTGTAATAATTATGTACATACTTTGTTTTTCTACGTAACCTCTTCATACTTCATATCTTTCCGTTTCATTAGTTATTTCGATTCAAAGAAAAAAGAGTTCTTCGTTGCATCTATAGCCAATTTTGTACCGCAGTGATGACGTCTTCATCATTTGCAATCCTTTTAAGTACTGTAACATTCACAGTGCAGAACTGGCAAGAAGCGTTTTTATATTCCGGACCGTCAAAGGAAGCACTACGGTGAAAACGATTTGCTGTCGAAGAATTCACCATTGCTGAGGTGCAAAATTGGTCATATATGCAGCCAAGCAAAAACTAGTGAAGTTTTGGAAATAGTGCGTCGAAGTTCAGTTGCATCATGAATAAATATAAGTTTTTTTTTTCGTGTCATTGAGCTCTATTAAAATGTTTTTTTCACATTTCGTCTTTTCGCGACATTTTTGTCTGTTGAAGATTTAATAATACACGATATATAGAACATAGTAAAACATATCTTGAATCAATGACTGCTAGCTTTTTCTTCCCTCGAGAGACTGAGCAAAGCCAGCAAAGAAACTGTGACGTTGGACTCTCTAGATGTGGTTCTGAGGATGACTGGAAATGCAGCTCCGTAAAAATTCCCATCGAGCTCATTTTAGATCCTTCTGTTATGAAATATTTTCGACTGAGTTTATAATCCTCTTTCATGGCAGACTTTTCTATTTATAAATAACTGTGACTGACCGTCAATTTCTTGTTTTTTTTTCAACTATACATTCCTTTTATGTATGACTTGACAATGTTGTGGTTATAAAAGGAATGCGCACTCCGACTTTTCTTTGCTATGATTTAAGGGGAGAAATTTGTTGTGAACGCCTAATATATACTGTCGAGTATTTTCCTTTATTGCATTGCTGTATTCAGATTGTCTTTCTTGGTTCGTTTCTTCATTTTCCAATGTATTCAGACCTTCATTTTCAACTTGGCGGCCCCTTTCATTTCGCAATTCTTTTTCGAGCCGCTCCATGCAGTTATGCCCTACGTGGACGTTCTCTTCGGCAATGAAGATGAAGCGGCAGCGTTTGGAAAAGTGTGTTTGCTTAGATTTATTTTTTCTTGTTTTAAAGGTGGTTTTTAGGCAGCGGGTTTCGATACAACCGACTTGAAGGAGATCGCATTGAAGACTGCCGCATTGGAAAAGGTATCCCTTTTTTTCATAGTGATAGCTAAATGCTTGGGTTTTTTGTATTTTTTGTGGATGTAGTATTTAGCAGAGTGCGTTGAAAGATAGTGCACGATCATAAACCATATATATGCTCATCTTTTTTGGCTTAACAATCCACTTCGAGCTCTTCTTTAAAGAAGTCATCAACACCTCGCACGGTGATCATCACCCAAGGTGCAGACCCTGTGATCGTGGTCGTTGGTTCTGAGCTGACGCTGTATCCGGTGCCAACTATTCCAAAAGAAAATATCGTCGATACTAATGGAGCCGGTGATGCATTTGTGGGAGGTAGGTATATTCCCTTTTCTGCACTTATAGAGCCTATTATCACTTTTTTTTTAGGTTTCCTTTCGCAGTACATTCAGAAGAAGGGAATTGAGGAATCCATAAAATGTGGCAATTACGCGGCTGGTGAGATCATTCAAAAGCATGGATGCACTGTGCCGTCTCTATGCATATACCACTGAGAGCTGAGACCGCTTTCACGACTGGGACAATCGTAAAAGCAGGCTTCCGTCGTTTTCTTCCAATTTGTTGAGATTTTTATTCCAGAAATTGGCCCCTTTCTATTTATTAGTACTGGGTTAGAGCTATTATTGTGTTCATAGTAGAGTATGATTTTTCTAACTCGCTAGTTGAATGTGAAATTAATATTTCATTTTAGTTTGTAACGATTTTTTACAAATATTTGTTATTTTGATATGATGTTGCTAAGCGCATAAGCTGCCAAAGAACTTCTGCAGGAATTTTGGTGGTTTTCTTCTATTTATTGTTCAATGGGCTTTGAATTACTTATTGTTTCTGTTATGCTGGGAATCAATTTGAGAATCTGATGATTTTTTAAGTTTGCATGAGCAATGAATGAATGTTCCGTTAACTGTTACTGCGAGAATTTGAGGATGCGCTGTTAAAACAGCTAGGATATTCGGCTACATACAGTTGATGCTGAGATTCACCGATATTTCTTTCTTACTTAAAATCTCATTTTGTAATTTGGAGAAGCGCGTAGCCATCTATACGGTATTGCGTTAAGATGGTGATCGGTGAATTCGATACAGCATCGTTGCAATTTCTTGGAGGTTTCCTCTTTCATGTACCTTTGTTTTGCTGGACTTGATCGGATCATGCCACAATTCTACTCACCAACGGTCATCTCTTACTGAACGGTCTCTAACGCTTTGCCAGCAGTGATAGGTGGTCTTGATAGCTAATAGTTTGTGCATCGCGCACTAGAAGTTGCTCTACGCATGACTTGCCAAAAACAAATATATCCGGGATGGAGTGGATGTGCTACAGTACTTCTAGGTTAAGTAACATAGAAAAGGAACAGAAGGGAAAAAACACGAAGTGAAAAATGTATGGTGTGGGAATCGAAGTGACCCTATGTTAACAAAAAAGCACTATGATGATAACTGGTTATTTTATGGTAGATTATTTTTTACATTCTGCCTTTTTATTTTGGAATGTGCAGTCGTAGTGAGAGTGGTGATAACATTTACCTTCCATAGAATCGATATTAGTTCAGGTGGTTCTTGCGTTTGTAGTGAGTTTGCTCGTAAAAAGTTGGTATCCTGCATGTCACATCATCTGACATTTTGCGCCATGGTGTCTGAAAAGTACACGATAAGCATGACATGATAGCCAAAGTTTTTTTCAGCCCTATCCCCTCTCTCTGCAGCCTGGTAAGCTACTCGTGCTATACATATTTGTCGTGAACCTGGGACAGCTCCCAAGACCGCAGCGTCGTATAGGACCCGGTGGGCAAGGCGGGTGAAATCTCATGCCCATATCAGATTGCCTCAACGAAATACTAGATTGGTGTCTTGCAGTTTGATGCACGATCAGGCACATCGGAAAGGTATGCAGGAGAATTGGTTATGCAGATCAAAAATACAAAGACGGAGTCAATCATTGCCGTATGTGCGGTCGCCCAACGAACCTAGGCCTGAATCTTTACGTATGGAAACAGTTCTAGCGCAAAGTTCGCATGCAGAGAGTATGATATTGAACCAGATCTTAACAGATTTGTGGAGCATTGATATCCTTGTTAACCATACCATCTTACTCCATTCAGTTCTGGAGGTGTTGCGCATTTAAAGAAGGCGCTGTCGGATTAGGAAGTGCTCAAAAGTCTTTTGTCGTACAATTTTCAGAGCTGACGAGATTGTTGAGTGTTTACGGTTTTTTTTNTTTTTTTTAGTCAAAGCACACATTATCATCGCAATAGTTATGTAGCGGATGGTATCGGAACCATTTTAAAAAGCGGGTAGCACACTGGTAAATCTATCATCATCTGCCGATTCAGTAGCTCAAGTATTGTGTGTAATCGTTCTTTTTTTGTTGCTGTCCTAGAAATGTTTGATAAGGTTCAGATGAACATTGATGACAATGGTAACTCATATGCGGAGATGCAAGCGGTACCATTCACTCATTCTGAATCAAATGTGCGATCGGAGCATGATATGGTTGGAGAAGGGTACGGGCAGGTGAGCGAATGGTTTTTAATAGCTAATTTACAAACGTTACTTGAGTGATTAGAGTTCAATTGAGATGTCTCGATTTTCGTTTTTGAACTGATCGGAATTCCGCTTCCTTCATCAGAGTGCTCTACAAGTGGGAAAACTACCAGATCGGATTCTTACATACCACATCGTGCTGTTGAAAATAAGGGCGGCCGATATCTGGACAAATGAAAATCTTGTAAGAGATTGAGAAAATTGAACTCCATAGTAGTGGCCGACTAGAAATTTTAGTCATTTGAGATTAGAAAACATGGTCGATGATTTTCTTAGCTTTGAGTCGGTACAAATCAAAAAAGAACGATTCAGTGATGATAGCAATTTGGAATTACGGGAAGTTTGTTTTGGTAGTGGAAAATTCTTAACTCCGAGCTCAGCACTATTTTTGAGAAAGAAATTCTGTGCTCGGTAGTAACGATCTCTTCACTCCATTAATAAGATCTTATGTGAACTTTACACACCCAATCCTTCAACTCTTTGATCTCAGCGGAAAAACACAAAAAAANAAAAAAATCGAAATTATTAAAGCCTCAGTGACTTGCGGAATCGCACTAAATCCCCCTTCATTTTGAGCGTAGGCATCCATTTTATGACAACGACAGCTTCCTTTTTGTAAGGATTGCATACGTTTGAAATATGTTCAACTTTAACATGACTGGATGGTCTCATTCGCAGATGATCACTGCTTCATTTCATTTGCCCCAGCTGTGTGATATTCGCTGGTATTCCATTGTATCAATGTGGTGTAAAACTTAATTTGGTGCAATCGAATTTTTTCTTCGAAGTTGTGTCCTAAACGAAAGTTAGCCTTGTTGACTTTGATAGCTGCTTCTCCCTGCTGAGTAGTTTGAGGCGTACTGAACTGTTTTACTGCTGTTCATATGGCGGCAATTACATAAGCATCTGGCTGCTATAAAATGCATAGTATTCGGTCCTGTGAAATTAATATTTTTCTGATCATCAAAAGTTGCTAAATTAAGCCAAACTTCAACTAGTTCTTCACAGTAACTGAAAAACTTTTTTGAGACTATTCTCAATCAAGGGGTCAGTTCGCATTTCTGTAACAGAAAACCATACATGTTGCCATTGTACCACCTAAGACCAATGCATAAACTTTTTTCTTCCCTTTTGGTGCATACTTTCCACTAAAAACTCCTCGGTTCGAAAAAAAATCCACTATGTTTTATTCGTTCAGATCCCCGTAATTATGAGTGACGGAGAAGGAAAGGAGTTCATGGTACACTTTGCTGATGATCGTGATATGGAGAACATGGACGAAGAACTCGAACTTGGTGTTGGGAACGTAAGGTTTTTAGACGAATTTGCTCCAAAGAGATGTACAGACAGTTGATTTTATCTGAAAAGTTGATTTTTTGGTTAATCTAATGCTAGTTTGAATATCCCTTCCTATATGTTATCCTAAGTTCACTGCCTTCCAGGTAATAGTAGTGCTCAGGTGCCTATCTGATCTTTAGCTTTTTGCTTCTTCATTCCTTGCATTTTCACATTATTGTAACGCATTAGTTGAATTAAAGTGGGCGGAGGTGTTGTCGTGGCAAGTAGCGCACTTCACACGGGATCGAGGTCGAGTGGTCACGGGTTCGAATCCCGGATTGATATCTGCCAAGGCCAACCAGGTCTTTCATCCCTCCGGGGTCGGTTAATTGGTGCCAGACTGGTCAGGGAAGATAAAACCACAGACTTGTGTTGAATGCGTGGGCGCATCCCTTTAAAGGGATTGATTAACTCCCCAAGACTTTACCCTTTTTATTTGCAGAAGTGAATATGTAATAGGCAAATGATACACCACTATATTTCTGAGACAGTTGGGAGTGAAAAGTCATTGATGTAGCAACACGCTCAATGGCAGCTTGCAGAATGATAAGAATAGTGTCTACCAAGGATCACTCCAGTCTGCGAAGCTTCAAGTACAGTTGCAGGAGGGTCTCAAGATCAGCTATCCGCATGAAAATCGTAGTGCGGAAACACCAGAAGGGCGTCCCTACAATCCGATTCCAGATCAAGAGCGCTTTCTTCCTATAGGTAATCTTTGATTCCAGCTGCGCTTTTGAAACTTCAACGCTCTATCAAAGCTGTTTCTTGCTCTCTACTTTGAAATTTTTTTATTGTAGCCAACGTTGCTCGCGTCATGAAGAGAATGATACCGAGTAGTGGAAAAATTGCCAAGGATGCAAAAGAATGTGTCCAGGAATGTGTTTCTGAATTCATATCATTCATAACTAGTGAAGCGAATGACAAGTGTATGAGCGTGAGTGCGATTATCATACAAGCAGACCTTCCCTTCTTTATGATCCGAGGGCAATCCAGAATTTTAAGGAAAAAAGGAAGACAATTAGTGCTGACGATCTTCTCGAAGCCATAAATAACATGGGATTTGACAACTATGTGGCTCCTCTCCAACTGTTTTTAGAAAGGTATGCACGTCCACAGAACTTGCTGAGCCATGTTGTAAAGTAGAATATGTTTAGGTATCGAGCCGCTCATAAATTAAGTTCTGGATTCAACAACTCAAATACTTCTACAAGAACATTCACTGTAGCTTCCAATTCGAGCCCAACAGGGATCCATAATGGTATGCATTGGGATAAAATCTCTTGAGCGCCCAAAGTTTTGGGTCGTCTGGAATGTAATTTTGATTCCTGAGCGTTCCACAATATTTTTTCTTTAGCACGAACCCTAGTCAATGATATATGATCTTCATCTTCAGTAAAGGTTTTCCTATTGAAGGACTCTGCAACTATCGAAGAAGGTGGAGTTCGGATGTCGCGAGATCAGGGCTATATGGTGGTTGAAGCATTTAGTTCCAGCCACACTTTTGTAATTTTTGCTGAGCCACCAAAAAGTGTATGCGGTCTGGCCTAGTCATAGTGCAGCATTACTCCTTTGCTATTTGCTAGTTTTGGAGGGGTTTTGCAAGTGCTCCTCGAAATTCTGAAAGGTAGAGATCTAAGTTAACATTATGGTTCTTTGTAGGGCCACACTTTCTAGTCCCACCGAAGCTGCCGTAAATTCTTTTGATGATGATTAGCTCTGGGTCTCCTCTGAGCAGGTTCATCCGTTGTTTATCATAATCAATTGCGTGTAAAATTATCGTGGTCCGTTTTTTATCAACAGCTACTATTCAATTCATAAAAGGTGGTTTTCATTGCGTTTGAAGCTTGATGCAGACACTATCTCGTGGCGTCATGTGCATCTACCTCAACTCGTGTAAAACCTGAACTCCCAACTTTTTTTAATAGTCCAAGTTTTTCGATATTCTCATCAACTTTCGCAAAAATGCATTGGTCCTTTCAGTAAGTTTCGTGAGTTACATGAAGATCGGCAGGTCGATGCCGTCAAAGACCATCTACGCCTACTGGTCGATCCATTTGTAGTGATAAATTGCTGGAACGAAAAAATGTTCACGTTCGCTCTGCAATAAGACATTGCCACCTCATGTTCCCCTAAATGATGGGAAACAACACAGCTTTTTAGCCAAGACAGAAGTAAAACCATTTAGGTTCATTCCTTCCTTTAAAAGAAGTGCAGGTGTATATTTATTTATTTATTTATTTATTTATTTATTTATTTATTTATTTATTTATTTATTTATTTATTTATTTATTTATTAGTTTATTCGCTTATTTATTTATTTATTTATCCATTTATTTATGTATAGTTCAAAGCATTCATACTTCTTGAAAGATTTTCAAACAAGCGTTCGGAAAAGTCGTTCTCCAAAATCAAAATTACTTCCCGAACGACCCATTGTATGCTGTTAAGGTTTTTCGTTATTTAAAATAGTTGAAAATCGTAGGAACCTCATCAAGTGTTGCGGGTAATCGAGACTATTCATCTCGGCCGTTGATGACACCATCGCAGCCAGTCTCTTCCTCCACTGCATCTGCCCACACTTACCAGGTTAGAACGAATTATGTGTTTAGGGAGTATTCCAACGTTCACCGTAAACGGTTTTTTCAGTAATTCGCTCTATTATAATGGGCTAGTTTTACTATTCCAGCTTTTAACCACATTATTTTCTTCCCATTCTGATTAGTTCCATTTTTTATGTCTTTTTTTGCTAATCGGCCCCTTCATAGTGCTTTTCCGAATTGAGACGAGGAAGTAGCCAAAAGTTATCCCNTTTTTTTGCTAATCGGCCCCTTCATAGTGCTTTTCCGAATTGAGACGAGGAAGTAGCCAAAAGTTATCCCTTGATTCCCAGACTATTCCCATTCTCAATTGCGTTTACTAGCGCTCTAACACTTAGCGTGAGAAAAATGAGTTTGGTGATTATCTGCATCGAAACTTGAAGCTATGAACTTTTAGTACTGTTTGAATCGGCTTTTTGTTTGCCACCAATCAGTTTATCCACTGCACCCCGCGATGCGAATATCATCTCAAAGTAGTGCCGTCATTGTATTGACTATCACCACTGCTGTCACTCATGATCTACGCAAACAGTGCTCCATACCGCGTTTTAAAGCGGTACATCGGGGTTAAATGTGCTCCGTCCAGTTTATTGAAGTACTTTTTTCTGTTTTCGCTCTTTTACTATCGCTATTCATATTCTTTGCTTACTAATGAAAGCTGTCTTAAAGTTCTACATATAATGTGGAAGCCTAATCTACAAGTGTGGGTTATTGCGTCTGCTTCCAAGTCTGCATGTGTCACATTTTGTTCAAAGATCAAAATAAACTCAATTTAGGCTACAGCATCTTCTCATGGATCTCCTGACCTTGCGCCGGTATGATTTCAGTTGCTTTTTTTCTCCATTTGAGGCAAAATTCTGGTAAAATTTCAGAGCACTTCTTCCGCTACAGGAGCTCCAGTTGTGCTTGCGAGTGGACTCACCGGTATGTCGGTGACGGCACTACAACAGCAACCTATGCAGATTTATATCGATCCCGCAAGCAAGCAACATTACATGGCGATCGAAAGTACGCTATTTTAGTCCTTTTTTTTGGACTGTTGACATTATTGGCATGAGTCCGACCTGAGGTACACCTGAGTTTCAGCTGAACAAGGGATGCAATTATACCCCATTCAAATTCAAACTGACGGTCCTGTAGCGTATTCCTTCGCTCCGGAAGTTTCCACAACAATGTCCTCAAATGCTACTGCTGGCAATCAGGTGCTTGCAGTAAATTCTGTGATGTAAAACCTTAATTAGTGGCATTTCTTAATTCGATAGCTTTTCTTTAGACGTTTATAATGATGGCCGCGGCAGATGTGGACGAACCACATGCAACGACATTGTCCGGCCAGTCAGCAGCACGGGAGCAAACGGCGACAACGGGCAGTTCGTCGTCGTGTGCGGGGCAAACACAAAGAAGTCAAAGCCAAAACGAGTTCAACCGCCACCAACCTCGCATGACATCGACGACAGCAAGTTTTACAAGTCATGCTATGCACGGTGAGACGGTAAGTAAACTTTTTCTCATTTTAATATTTTCTGGGGATAAGGCTCTTTGAAGTTTACAATTTCTCTAACCACCTCACTGATGATGCTATATTAAATACCAAAAAGAGCAGAATAGTGTGAAGCGCAGGCTCATCTCTGTTTCGATTTTTTGAGGTCATCTTCATGCTTGTGTTGATAGATCGGGTAATGGACTTCAATCATAACAGAAATTGTTGTAATAGAATCACAAGGATTCACGACGAGGCCAGTATGTTACAAGAAAAAAAAA